GTAGGGGTAGGGTAGGGTAGGGTAGTGTATAGAGATAGGGTAGGGTAGGGTAGTGTAAGGGTGGGGTAGGGTAGGGTAGGGTAGGGTAGGGTAGGGTAGGGTAGGGTAGGGTAGGGTGTATAGAGATAGGGTAGGGTAGGGTAATGTAAGGGTGGGGTAGGGTAGGGTAGGGTAATGTAAGGGAGGGGTAGGGTAGGGTAGGGTAAGGTAGGGTAGGATAGGGTAGGGTAGGGTAGGGTAGTGTAAGGGTAGGGTAGGGTAGGGTAGGGTAGGGTACGGGTAGGGCAGGGTAGGGAAGTGTAGGGGTAGGGGTAGGGGTAGGGTAGGGGTAGGGGTAGGGTAGGTTAGGGTAGTGTATGGGTAGGGTAGGGTAGGGTAGGGTAGTGTAAGGGTAGGGTAGGGTAGGGTAGGGTAGTGTAAGGGTAGGGTAGGGTATAGGGTAGGGTAGGGTAGGGTAGTGTAGTGTAGGGGTAGGGTAGGGTAGGGTAGGGTAGGGTAGGGTAGGGTAGGTTAGGGTTGCATTGAGTAACATCCTAACTTACAAAGGGCTCGAACAACTCGCATGCATCACCATCTATACTTTACAGTTCAATTAAAAGCAGTTACTCAGTTCTTCACAAATAATACCAATAAAAATGCAAGTTTCTACACCCAAACTAATGCATCCGTTAATCATACATATCAAAACATACAGTTATCGCGTAAACCTGTACCTCTAGTCTACTATTATAAATCTTAAAAAGTTCGCCGCCGCCGTCGGGGTTACTCCCTAAAAGGCTTATTACGGCGCCGTCGATTGACGCAGGAGGGTGAAATTTTCACGACTCGTGGGTCACGTCATTCAACAGGTCGTATTAAATTTTGGGCACGATGTGGCCGGGGGTGCGCCCGTGGCGCGTGCTCATGTGCGCCATATGGTTAGCAGTAGAATCGACAAAAACAGGCCATTGCTCGGGAACGGTAAGGGCTACAGGGGTGAAATTGTCATACCAAGTCGAGCGCGTGCACTCATTTGTCGTATTAAATTTTCGAGGGTGTGGGTTCAGCGGTGTGCACGTGATGGGGCCGCGACCGGCGCCGAGCAGAGGGCACGTGCTTTAGGCTCAGTTGTTCGCTTAGAAAACTGAGTGAAAAGCATCAGAGCCAACGAAGGCCGACACAAGGCACCGCTCGCCAAGGGGATTCGCCAGTAAATAAATTAATTTGTTTTTGCAATATCTCAGCCGTTTCTGGGCCGATTTAGCTGAAACTTGGACTGTCGGTGGTAGTGTAGTGTAGGGTAGGGTAGGGTAGGGTAGGGTAGGGTAGGGTAGGGTAGGGGATTGTAGGGTAGGGTTGGGTAGGGGATTGTAGGGTAGGGTAGGGTAGGGTAGGGTAGAGTTAGGTAGGGTAGAGTTAGGTAGGGTAGGGTAGGGTAGGGTAGGGTAAGGTAGGGTAGGGTAGGGTAGTGTAAGGGTAGGGTATGGTAGGGTAGGGTAGGGTAGGGTAGGGTAGTGTAAGGGTAGGGTAGGGTAGGGTAGGTTAGTGTAGGAGTAGGGTAGGGTAGGAGTAGGGTAGGGTAGGGTAGTGTAAGGGTAGGGTATGGTAGGGTAGGGTAGGGTAGGGTAGTGTAAGGGTAGGGTAGGGTAGGGTAGGGTAGGGTAGTGTAAAGGTAGGGTAGGGTAGGGTAGGGTAGGAGTAGGGTAGGGTAGGGTAAGGGTAGGGTAAGGTAGGGTGGGGTAGGGTAGGGTAGGGTAGGGTAGGGTAGGGTAGGGTAGGTAGGGTAGGGTAGGGTAGGTAGAGTAGGGTAGGGTAGTGGTAAGGTAGGGTAGGGTAGTGTAGTGTAGGGGTAGGGTAGGGTAGGGTATGGTAGGGTAGGGTAGGGTAGGGTAGGGTAGTGTAGGGGTAGGGTAGGGTAGGGTAGGGTTGCGTTCAGTAACATCTTAACTTATGTACAAAGGGCTCGAAGAACTCGCATGCATCACCATCATACTTTACAGTTCAATTAAAAGCAGTTACCCACTTCTACAAAAATCATACCAATAAAAATGCAAGTTTCTACACCCAAACTAATGCATCCGTTAATCATACATATCAAAACATACAGTTATCGCGTAAACCTGTACCTCTAGTCTACTATTATAAATCTTAAAAAGTCCGCCGCCGCCGCCCACGCCGCCGTCGGGGTTACGCAGTCGGTGTTACTCCCAAAAACGCTTATTGCGGCGCCGTCGATTGACGCAGGAGGGTGAAATTTGCACGACTCGTGGGTCACGTAATTCAACAGGTCGTATTAAATTTTGGGCACGATGCGGCCAGGGGTGCACCCGTGGCGCGTGCTCATGTGCGCCATAGGGTTAGCATTAGAATCGCGACCGGCGCCGAGCAGAGGGCACGTGCTTTAGGCTCAGTTGTTCGCTTAAAAAACTGAGTGAAAGCATCAGAGCCGGCAGGTCGTTGACCTTTGACAACGAAGGCCGACACAGGGCACCGCTCGCCAAGGGGATTCGCCAGTAAATACAATTAATTTGCTTTTGCAATATCTCAGCCGTTTCTGGGATGATTTAGCTGAAACTTGGACTGTCGGTGGTAGTGTAGTTTAGGGTAGGGTAGGGTAGGTAGGGTAGTTGTAGGGTAGGGTAGGGTAGGGTAGGGTAGGGTAGGGGTAGGGTAGGGTAGGGTAGGGTAGGGTAGGGGATTGTAGGGTAGGGTAGGGTAGGGTAGGGTAGGGTAGGGTAGGGTAGGGGATTGTAGGGTAGAGTAGGGTAGGATAGGGTAGGGTAGGGGATTGTAGGGTAGCGTAGGGTAGGGTAGAGTAGGGTAGGGTAGGGGTAGGGTAGGGTAGTGTAGGGGTAGTGTAGGGGTAGGGTAGTGTAGGGGTAGGTTAGGGTAGTGTAGGGGTAGGGTAGGGTAGGGTAGGGTAGGGTAGGGGATTGTAGGGTAGGGTAAGGTAGGGTAGGGTAGGGGATTGTAGGGTAGGGTAGGGTAGGGTAGGGTAGTGTAGGGTAGGGTAGGGTAGGGTAGGGTAGTGTATTGTAGGGGTAGGGTAGGGTAGGGTATGGTAGGGTAGTGTAGGGGTAGAGTAGGGTAGGGTAGTGTAGGGTAGGTTAGGGTAGGGTAGGGTAGTGTAGGGGTAGGGTAGGGTAGGGTATGGTAGGGTAGGGTAGAGTAGAGTAGGGTAGGGTATAGGTAGGGTAGGGTAGGGTAGTGTAGGGTAGGGTAGGGTAGGGTAGGGTAGGGGTAGGGTTAAGTTCAAAAAGGGCCTAACATACAAAACACTTGAACACCCCGCACCGCACCTATCACCAACCCTTACAGTTTAATTAAAAACAGCTACCCAAATCTATCCAAATAATACATCTAAAAATACAAGTCAATCACCCAAACTAATGCACCCGTAACATAACATAACTCAAAACATACAGTTATCGCGTAAACCTGTACCTCTAGTCTATATTATAAATCCTAAAAAGTCCGCCGCCCACGCCGCCGTCGGGGTTACTCCCTAAAAGGCTTATTACGGCGCCGTCGATTGACGCAGGATGGTGAAATTTTTACCAGTCGTGGGTCACGTAAAAAAACAGGTCGTATCAAATTTTGGGCACGATGCGGCCGAGGGTGCGCCCGTGGCGCGTGCTCATGTGCGCCATAGGGTTAGCATTAGAATCGGCAAAAACAGGCAATTGCTCGGAAACGGTAAGGGCTACGGGGGTGAAATTTTCATGCCAAGTCGAGCGCGTGCACTCATTTGTCGTATTAAATTTTCGACGGTGTGGGTTCAGCGGTGTGCACGTGGTGGGGCCGCGACCGGCGCCGAGCAGAGGGCACGTGCTTTAGGCTCAGTTGTTCGCTTGCAGAACTGAGCGAAATCAGAGCCGGGAGGTCGTTGACCTTTGACAACGAAGGCCGACACAAGGCACCGCTCGCCAAGGGGATTCGCCAGTAAATACAATTAATTTGTTCTTGCAATATCTCAGCCGTTTCTGGGCCGATTTAGCTGAAACTTGGTAGTGTAGGGTATGGTATGGTAGGGTAGGGTAGGGTAGGGTAGGGGTAGGGTAGTGTAGGGTAGGGTAGGGTAGGGTAGGGTAGGGTAGGGGATTGTAGGGTAGGGTAGGGTAGGGGATTGTAGGGTAGGGTAGGGTAGGGTAGGGGATTGTAGGGTAGGGTAGGGTAGGGTAGGGCAGAGTAGGGTAGGGTAGGGTAGGGTAGGGTAGTGTAAGGTTAAGGTAGGGTAGGGTAGGGTAGTGTAAGGTTAAGGTAGGGTAGGGTAGGGTAGTGTAAGGTTAAGGTAGGGTAGGGTAGGGTAGGGTAGGGTAGGGTAGGGGATTGTAGGGTAGGATAGGGTATAGGGTAGGGGATTGTAGGGTAGCGTAGGGTAGGGTAGGGGTAGGGTAGGGTAGGGTAGTGTATGGGTTGGGGTAGTGTAGGGTAGTGTAGGGGTAGGGTAGGGTAGGGTAGGGTAGGGTAGGGATTGTAGGGTAGGGTAGGGTAGGGTAGGGTAGGGGATTGTAGGGTAGGGTAGGGTAGGGTAGTGTAGGTTAGGGTAGGGTAGGGTAGTGTAGGGGTAGGGTAGGGTAGGGTAGGTTAGGGTAGGGTAGTGTAGGGGTAGGGTAGTGTAGGGGTAGGGAAGGGTAGTGTAGGGTAGGTTAAGGTAGGGTAGTGTAGGGGTAGGGTAGGGTAGGGTAGGGTAGGGTAGGGTAGGGTAGGGTAAGGTTAAGTTAAAAAAGGGCCTAACCAACAAAACACTTGAACACCCCGCACCTATCACCAACCCTTACAGTTTAATTAAAAACGGCTACCCAAATCTATCCAAATAATACATCTAAAAATACAAATCAATCCCCCAAACCAATGCACCCGTAACATAACATAAATCAAAACATACAGTCATCGCGTAAACCTGTACCTCTAGTTGTGATTATTAAATATAAGACTAAGCTCATAACATTGTCCCTCTCCGTGTGCCAGCTCCTCCCTTAGAGACGCTATCTTACACCCCATATCACCCCCTCCTGCAGGCGCCTCGCTGGACGTGCAGCCGTCGCCGGCCGAGTCGTGGCAGCCGCCGCGTGCTCAGAGTCTGGCCGTGCCTCGCGCCACCGACCAGCCGGCAGTCAACGGGACAGCGTCCGGCAACGAGCGTTCGCTACTAGAGCGGCTCTCACTGGTCTTCTCCAAACAGGAGAGCCACGGTAGGTGGGGGAGACGAACAGGAGAGCCACGTTATGTGGGAAGGAGACATGGGGACTCACTTCATACTACTAGGATCAGAGTCTCGGTACTTAGGGTGTTCCGTGATCTTGACCTGGGTAGTGTCCTGTGTGATTATGACAATGTCGAGGTCTGTGAAGAGACCCATGCTGCTTTTTACCTCGATGTTGACTCCCTTCTGACCTTGACTAAGGTAGTGACCTCCAGCGATAACGTTGACCTGGTTTGGTTGGGACCCCCAGCGCCCGGCTCGGCGGGACGTCTGATGCTGCAGCTGGGAGCCGAGGGACGCCAGGGGCGTGACGTCACCGGCGAGACACTGGCCAATCAGAGCAGCGCCAGCACCGAGGATGACGGTGAGTGGTCTCATTATTGTGTTACGCTCCGGAAATGATCCTTTTTTTCTATCTGGCATTATGTTTGGTTTTCTGTCGGTAGGCGTTATGTAATATGCAGCATTAGGATGTCGCGTCGGTTTGATGTTGCTGGTGACAATGCCGATTGATGAATATTGGACTGGAGTGACCTAATGTTACTGTGCGCTACCAACCCTTTTTAGCAGCGATCCTTCGAGACATGACGTGTTAAAACCGTCTGTTGACTAAGGTTATATTTGACAGCGGCCACGCCGGGCGACGAGCCGGCCGTCCACCGGGCTTACATCAAACAGCCCAAGGCCAAGAAGTTGGGTCTGAGCCCCGTGGAGCAGGCGGCAGCCGACAGCCGCACGGCACGGTCAGTGATCGATCACCGCCCATACGCGCTCACACGGAGCCCCTGTTCCTGATTGCTGTCAGCAGTCTGCCTGAAGCTAGGCAGACTTAAACTTCCTAACTTGGTGTTCATGGAGCCTGAGTACGCGAGCGTGGTATTTATTTTTCTATCGTATGCTGACAATTGTATAGATACATGCATGAAATTGACTTATGCAAATGCTCTTCTTCGCTGCGGTTTAAGAACCGTAGTGTATATCTGAAGGATTTCGTAGTAGCACATTACCATGTTACCCGTTCGTCCTAGTTTCGACTCATCGTAGAATTACTGTGCCCGCCTTTTTTGTGTGACAGATGGGCGCGCCGAGACAAGACGGGTGTGGCAGCTGAGGAGAAGCCGATAACCAGCATGAAACAGTGCAGTCTGCGCGTGGGTCACGACTGCGTCCTCGAGAGGTACGCGCCGTGGTTGTCAGGTGGTTGGTGCAAGTACTCGATAGGCGGGAAATAATCTATACCTTTTCATGTCTGTTCTGGGCCTCGTTTCATAAAAGGAATTACTTACGGCGTTCCGTCAATTATGCCAGATTTGGCGTATTTGATGCCAATTCGGTTTCATAAAGCCGGAGACCGGAGTAATTCACGCCATCGAAAGTACGGAGCTTCATTTACGGCAAATGCTCGATTCCGGACCAATTGATGCCATTTGGGTTTCATAAAACGACGTAATTAGCGCCAAATATTTTATCAAGCTCTTGATATCAGTGGTGTAAACTACGCACAAAAATGTTGCGTGAATTTGAATTAATGTGAAGTTTCGAAGCTAATTTTTAATATATTTTATAATGTTGAGCCCGGTGAGGAAGAAAGAACAGCCAAAATGAGAAAAAGAAACTGCAAATCTTCTGTACCAGTCGCTTTTTGTGGCCACTATACGGTCGTCAAGTTAGATGTAAGTGAATCCTAATCTATAATCTAAGATTCGGAATCAGGTGAGCCCCTACGATTTGGACCAAACTTGGTCAGTGGATAGTACGTAACGTCCTGATTACGATGCACCCAAAATCTAAGCTCGGCCCGCCATATTTACGAAGTTACGGATGTTTGAATTTCAAGGTCAATCGGGAGAGCCCCTACGATTTCCGTCAAAATTTGTGTACGGACACTCTAGATGCTCCTCATTACGAATATCACAAAATTTAAGCTCGGCCCGCCATATTTACGAAGTTACGGAGGTTTGAATTTCAAGGTCATTTGGGTGAGCCCCTACGATTTCCGTCAAAATTGGTGTACGGACACTCCAGACGCTCCTCATTACGAATATCGCAAAATTTAAGCTCGGCCCGCCATATTTACGAAGTTACGGAGTCACAAAGTTACGGAATTTCAAGGTCGTTCGGAGAGCCCCTCCGATTTTCGTCAAAATTTGTATGCGGACACATTACATGTTCATGGTAGGGAGACCCGCCAAGCTGACTTTTTCGAGACCCCAGCGATCCGCACAGAGTCAGGCCGCCGACGGTTTCTTTATTCAGCCGTGACAACATACAACTCACTGCCACCAGCCGTGCGAGGCCTGGGGCCGCGGCAGTTCAAAGCCCAGTACCGAGCACTGCTACTCCGAGAGCAGTATGGCGATGAGGACCCGTGAGTGTGTTTTGTATGCGTGTGCTAAGAGCGAATGTTTTATCCATCACATCTTCCAAATGACATGACGCCCGGAATAGCCGTTCTCGAATGGATGGGTTTGTCGCGACGTGAAATAAATAAATAAATAAATAAATACATGCTCCTCATTACGAATATCATAAAAGCTAAGCTCGGCCCGCACTATTTCAAAAGTTAGAGATGTTTGAATTTCAGTGAGTTTCAAACGTCAGTAACTTTTGAAATAGTGCGGGCCGAGCTTAGCTTTTATGATATTCGTAATGAGGAGCATGTAATGTGTCCGCATACAAATTTTGACGAAAATCGGAGGGGCTCTCCGAACGACCTTGAAATTCCGTAACTTTGTGACTCCGTAACTTCGTAAATATGGCGGGCCGAGCTTAAATTTTGCGATATTCGTAATGAGGAGCGTCTGGAGTGTCCGTACACCAATTTTGACGGAAATCGTAGGGGCTCACCCAAATGACCTTGAAATTCAAACCTCCGTAACTTCGTAAATATGGCGGGCCGAGCTTAAATTTTGTGATATTCGTAATGAGGAGCATCTAGAGTGTCCGTACACAAATTTTGACGGAAATCGTAGGGGCTCTCCCGAATGACCTTGAAATTCAAACATCCGTAACTTCGTAAATATGGCGGGCCGAGCTTAGATTTTGGGTGCATCGTAATCAGGACGTTACGTACTATCCACTGACCAAGTTTGGTCCAAATCGTAGGGGCTCACCTGATTCCGAATCTTAGATTATAGATTAGGATTCACTTACATCTAACTTGACGACCGTGGCCACTATCGGAATTTTGTTTATTCGCCGCGCCGCGCCACTTTCGTAGTTAGGCACTTCTGCTTAGCTGGCTTTCTGCTGTTTTTAATATATTGTTTTAATAAAGGATGGTCATTAATATCAATTTTGTTCTTTCATAACTAATTTTTAAGATTTAAATTCAACATAATTGTTTTATAAATTCTCGTAAAAAAATAAGTGTTGACATGAAATTGTAATTTGTAGGACGCTTGATAAATTACGGTAACTACGCAAATGTGCTTAGTTACGGAGGTGTAAACAATTCCAGTTGTGGCTTTGTGAAACGGATTTATTTGCGCTCCGTAGTTTGAAAGGGTGTGAATTACGGAAAGGTGTAAGTTACGGCAGAGCTTTATGAAACGAGGCCCTGGTGTCATATTTCGGTTCGCTAATTTCTCCTTGCATGCTTGTCAGTTGAAACTTGAAAATATTGCAAACTGATGACGATCGTATTGCGCCCCTTTCAGACATTTTTTAGGTGTCTTGATGTGTCTCAGTTCTGTCCGTCTCTTCCACTCTAAGCTCTGGTGCACACTGATCTCGTCTCTCTAACGCTGACCCCTCTATCCTCCCAGGTGCCCGGACTGCGGCCAGGTCCGTGAGGACTACACGGAGGAGGAGCTGGGACTGTGTGTGGTCGTACTGGCCACCTTCGTCCACCGGGAGCCGTCCCTGGCCGCCTGTCTGCTGCCCGATATGCTGAGAGCTGTGTCCGGGTGAGAGAGGGATGGAAGGAGGGAGGAACGGGCCGCAAACCAGTGCTCGACAGCCTGGACTGCCGGGCGTCAGTCACGGTGGCCCAGCTCCGGGTGGGCTCAGGGCTGTTCCCACTCACCGGAGACAACCGACTCAGACTCGCACTGACCCGGACGTCCGACAGTGCGTTAACTGGCCAAACCGGACTCGGTCAAATGCCTACTGGAAGACTGCCCCGCCCACCAGGGGCCACGAACCCGCCAGTGGGGCCCCTTGCCGACGCTGGGGGAGATACTCTCCACCGAGACTGGCTTCATACGGGACTTCCCTGGTAGAGACGGGCCGGATCCTACGGGACCCGGCCTAAGCTGGCAAAGGAAAAGAAGGGATGGACGGTGTGAGAGAAAAAGGATAGGACATAGTCCGTAGGTGAGGTTTTGTAGACCTAGCGTGGTATCTGCCCGGAATCAGTGGTGGAGCCGGCTCAGCAGCTGGTCGATTTATTGTATGATGCTCACGGTCCGTATGTCTGCCGGTTTCAGTCTGGCGGCCCGTCAGCGCTACCCGTGGCAGTCAGAGTCCAGTTACAGTCTGCCCGGCTCAGTGAACAGCGTGTGCCGCCAGTTCCTGCGCTGTGTGCTGCACAGGCTGGCTGCACACAACATGTTCTTCAAACTGTTCCAGACTGATATGGACGGTAAGCGGTCATGGAGTGTAGGGGATGGGACGGGTGATTTATGAATTCTCCGTGAAGACTGAGGAGTACTGAGACCCGGGGCTACATTGTCAAATAGCTAGTTCCTGTTTTTGCTGTCGATCATTGACAAAACAACAGTCAAACAACTAAAACTGCGTTTACGTTGATCTCGCCATTTGTAGGATCGCCTACATAGGGCAGTGACTTGCTTAATCTTCTACTTACAATGGTTCATTGTTATAGCTCCAGTTATGCCTTTGTTTACATGCTGTTGACTATTTGTATTCGTTTTCAGTGGACAGCACACACGCGTTTTTCCGGACGCTGGCTCAGGCTCTGGCCGACTTTGCGGAGCTGAACACGGCTGCCCCGCTACACCATCTGCTCGAGGTGAGTCCGGCGAACGCCAGCTCACTCCAGCCACCCTGGGTGCCTCGGGCAAAGTTCATAACTGTCGCTCAACTGTGCGAATATCCGTGTTACACGCTGTCGCTTTTGGTATGGAGTGGCGGTTATACTGTGCCGCAGTGCATCTGTGTGTTGCGGTACAGTCTAAATTCCAGTTCCGCTCCCGCCCGCTAGGATGTGCGCTGGATAATTCCATGCTAAGCTGACACGTTCGCGTGTCGTATTCCTAGTATTGCCTTTCTTATTGTTCTATTTAAAAGCAGGCGTATAATTTATCCTTGGTGGTAGACGACACGATTTCCCGCACTTCACTGCGCCACAATCCTCTGCATTTGAAAATGTATCAATAAAGTTACCAAATGTGATCCGTCCTGTGACACCACCGCCGTCTCTCCGTGCCCCCAGTACCTGAACCGGCAGCGAACGGCGCCGTGTCTGGACGAGATGCCGACCATACTCTACAACATGTCCGTGTACCTGGAGTGCGTGCCGCTGGAGGCCGGCGGCAACCTGTACGGCCCGCTGGTGTCGCAGCTGGACGCCCTGCTGCACCGGCTGCTGCCCTGCCTGGCTGCGCTGCCCGAGCTGGACTCTCTCCTGGCCATCATGTGCTCTGTCCTGAAAATACCCAACGTCAACATGTATAAGGTGGGAAATGGAAGCAGGAATAGTCGTTGTGGCGCATTGGGCTCTGTTTCACGGCTTGGTAGCGGCAGGTGAAAATTTTCATATGGACACAAATATGCGATTTCGTATAGAGACGAGCTACTTAAGTCGATTTACAATGCAATACCTTTAGTTCCTCGTCGGTGAACTTCACAAAGAGCGACTGATTGTTTCTCTGATAAATGTAATATGCAAGTAAATACAATCATTGACCATAGTGACCGCTGCCGCAGACGATTCTGGAGCCGTTCTCGAAGGTGGTCAGTCTGCTGGTGCAGACCCGTCCGATCGACTACCGCCGACTTGTGGAGCTGTGCCACCTCTGCAACAGGGTCTTCAGCAGGGTCAGTCGCTGGTTCAGCCTGCGGGAGACTGGGACTGCTTAACGTATTAAAAGGGATCCTACTTAAATGTGTTGTGTCGTGTCCGCGGTTTTAACAGGCCGATATGTCAAGTATATCATTTCCCGATTTTCAGTTCCCAGTCAGTGCGGACAGGTCAGTGCAAACATGCCGAGCTATGGATGTTTGTAGATTGATGTTCAGCATCACGTTTTTTTTCTTCTTAGCATCAGCAGGAGCGTCAGCCGCGGCAAATGATCAATGGTGATGTGATCATAAACCCGAGCTGTGTACTTTCCCTCAGGAGCGGGAGAAGCAGCAGCTCTCCCGCGTGGTTGTGTTCGAGCTCGTTCAGGCGCTCAAGTTCAAGTCCAACCCACCCGACACCAACCTGCTCCTGCTGGTGCACTTTGTCGTGCAGGTAGGCCGAACCTCCTGTTAGGAGGGAAGATCTACGATGCTAGGATCGAGAGGATCGCTATCCCGACCTTTCATGACGCTGCAGTACCCAAAGCATGCAATTTACCGTCAGCAATTCAGGAATCGCCATCAGTGTCGCTTTTATACTGCTGTTTGGATTGTTTTTGCTAACAGCTACAGTTAGACTGTTGGGCCCGCACTGAATCCGCACACCAGCTTACCCCTGTTCCGCCGCTCAACTCCACCCTCTGATCATCTAACCCCGTCTCCGTCCCTTGTCCCAGGACGCGGGCGGCACGATGGCACCCAGTACCGTGATGGACATGGTGCCTGACCTGGGGACCGATACCGCCGGGGCCACCGGCGCCGCCGAGTGTATGCGACAACACCTCAACGACGCGCTGGACTTCCTGGCAGACGTGCACACACTCACCAAAATCAAGGTAGGATAGGATCGGCGGTGGTGGATGGCTATGTGACAGAAATGGAAACGGTGTGAAGCTAACAAGTTCTTGGTTGGACGTTATATTGTTTTTGGTGGAATTTATACTCCATTCGTGCTACCGTCAATTAAAAAATTATTGGATATTCACGATTTTATCATTGATATGAGGCTACAATTAGAAACGGGAATTATTATTATTGTCATTTTTCATGTCGTGCTGTTTGTATTTATGTCCTTCGAGGCTTCTTTCGCAAACAACATTCCATAGTCCGAACGGCGTGTCCCCCTCACAACTCTGCGTCTGCGTGGCCAGAGTAACTGCACGGGCCCGCTGCGGGGTCTGAACGAGGACACGATGGGCGGCGTGCTGAAGGCGGGCGTGGCCCAGTTCGTGGCACTGGAGATCAGCCGCGGCAATAGCCGAGAGAACCGGGCCATCAGCCGCTACCTGCCCTGGCTCTACAACCCGCCATCGCCCGTCCAGCAGGGGTGAGTTATATTTGGAGGTCCATCCAGCGGGGGCGAGTATACAGGATCTGTGTAACAGGGGTGGGAAGGCGGTTGTTGGTCTGTAGTCAGTGGCGGGCCATCAGCCGCTATCTTCTACCCTGGCTCTACAACCCGCCGTCGCCCGTCCAGCAGGGATGAGCTATATGTATTTGGAGGTCCATCCAGCGGGAGCGAGTATATGGGATCTGTGTAACAGGGATGGGAAGGCGGGTTGTTGGTCTGTAGTCAGTGGCGGGCCATCAGCCGCTACCTGCCCTGGCTCTACAATCCGCCGTCGCCCGTCCATCAGGGGTGAGTATGTGTGTAGTCCTGGCCCGTCCAGTAGGGGTGAGAGGGCATGATTTGTTCAGTTGCATGACGTGTGTGGCTCCTTGCTCGACCTGCCTGAACAACACGATAGAGTACATACCTATGACTCATTGTTTTTTTTTTACAACTGAAATTAGTGCCGTAATATTTTAGATTCGTTGTTCTTTGAACTGTCAATGCTGAGGCTCTAAAGTTAGCTCTTACGGCGTTTTTCCCCCTTTTCAAGAACGTTTTTTACCTTTTTATTACTCAAAGCTCATCGGCTATCGAATCATGTCCCACTAATTTGGATTCAAGCCGTTGAATGCCGTGTGTCTACTGTTGTTTCAGTCCGAAGGAGTTTATCGACTGCGTGTCTCACATCCGACTGCTCTCCTGGCTGCTGCTGGGCGCCATGACCCACGCCACCGTGCTGGGACCGCAGGCAACCGTGGTAAGTGCATGCTATCCCGCCCTATCCCACCGATTCTCTGCTGTCCCGCCCTCTTAGGACCGCAGACCACAGTGTAAGCAACAACCGCTTCGGGAGTTCACCTAGTAACACTAGTTCATAACAATAACACTATCACTAGTAACAATAACAATAGTAACACTAGTAACAATAACACTAGTTCACTTTTCTAGTGTCTAATCGAATTCCTGTGTCATCGCATTATCTGTCAATCATTTGGCACATGTGTAGTGTTTTACCCATCACGTTTATGTTATCCGAATCACGTCACCCATTTTCAGACGTGTCAGCCGGTGCCCCTGGACGCCAGCTGCCTGTGTCAGCTGTGTGTCTGTGTCACCTGTTCCAACGTCATCTGCGTCACCTGTGTCGCCCAATGTCCCCAGAGATGTCCGCCGGTACCTCTGGACGCCAGCCCCCATGTATCAGCTGTGTGTCACCTGTGTCAGACACACGTCACCTTATGTCCCCAGACATGTCAGCCGGTACCTCTGGACGCCAGCTGCCTGTGTCAGCTGTGTCACCTGTGTCAGTCATGTGTCACCTTATGTCCCCAGACGTGTCAGCCGGTGCCTCTGGACGCCAGCTGCCACATCGCCGACCACATCCAGGTGATCCTGGCCGGGTTCGCCGAGCAGAGCAAGGCGTCCGTGCTGCACATGAGCTCTCTGTTCCACGCGTTCATCCTGTGCCAGCTGTGGACCATGTATCTGGAGGTGGTGGCCGCCGGACAGACGCCGCCGGCGCACGAGCAGCACGCCGCCGCGCTGGCCATCCTGGCCGACTTCTGGTCCAAAGTGACGCCCGGCATTCTGCAGCTGGTGTCGCACTCACGCGTGGTACGTACTGGAATAATAGGATGGCAGAGGGAAAACGTGCATACACTTTAGCGCACGCTTTGTTTCAGTCCAGAGGGGATGCTGGCGATATGGTCAAATATTTGAGGAGTGCCAGGTTGTTTGAATTCAGTTTTCCTAATCATTGTCCTGCAGGACGTAAATAACTATTATGGTTGTTTGTACCTTGTTTCTATATGTTCTGTTTGTACCTTTCTGTATGTCCTTGTCTGGTGCGAAAGAGTTCAAACTCTTCAAAGTTCATAACATGAAGATTACATTCATTCGAGTACACACATAATGCGCAAAATATCAATGGCAGGTCAGCAGCGCTGTTGAGAGACTTCCTGTGGAACGGCCACTGTTACTGACCGCCTCTCCCTCCCCCTCAGCTGGGTGAGATGGTGAACCTGCACTTCCTGAGCCTGATGGAGGCGACCACCGCTGCTGATCCTCCCCCCCCCCCCCTCATTTCCTCAGTTGGGTGAGATGGTGAATCTGCACTTCCTGAGCCTGATGGAGGCGCTGGCCGAGTGTAACGCGTCCACGCTGGCCCGCCTGCTGCCAGTCTGGACACAGGTGTTCTACGCCTACAATGAACAGGTAAGGCTGCACGGTGGTTGTACAGGTTGATGATGTAAAAATACCGGAAGTGTAAGGACGAAGTGGTTGTCATGAATGGGAATGATCCATAATCGTGACAAGGGATAGTCGTTCCAGACTCCAGAGTGCTAACAAGCGTTGTGTGGCGTTTTCTTGAAGAATACGTGAAGGTTGCATGTGGCTGCCGCTGGGATGGCGCAGTTTAGGAACCGCGCCATAGAACGTGGTTATATTGTGCTCTATGTGAGTCTTAGCTCAAGTCTGTTCTGTCGACCGTTCAAGGCTGATATTTCTGGTTTTGACTTGTGTGACTGTTCCCTGTGTGCCTCCGCAGCTGCCGGGCCACCTGAGTGTGCGCCTGCAGAGCTGCCAGTCGCAGCCGGCCGGTCACAGCTGTCTGCAGCAGAGTCCGGCCGCCCATGGCAGCTGCCAGCTGCCCACCTGCGCCTCGCAGGCGGCGACGGCCGGCGCGGCCGGCGGCTGCCGGCAGGAGGGCGGCGCGCCCGCGCAGCCGACGGTCCACAGTAGCCACCAGCTGCTGCTCAGCTGGATACAGCGGCTCCAGTTCAAAATGGGGCAGATCGAGCTGCAGTCGTCGGCGGCCGCCCAGTTCTACACCGTCTGAGCGGCCTTCGGGAGAGCTGGGAGAGCCGGAATATACAGAGGTGGTGTGGTCACGCGCTATTGTAACACTTAGAATGCCATGGGAAACCGCTGTAACGTGACTTTAACGCTGGAAGAGCGCCGTTAAAACGCATTGGATAAGCGCGCGAGAGCACCCTGAACACCGGGAGCTTCTGGACATTAGTGTGACGATTCTTTGCCGAGGTGTAACTGTTGTGTAGCCGTTTACTAAACCCGTGGTGCATGACTCGGCCTGGCACGTCTGAAGAAATTTCACGGGGTATTAGTGGTTGATTCAACTTGCCGCCAAAATCGGTACGCAAGTACGCAAGACATGGACCGGACTGCTGCAGACGACATCCCCGTGAGTTAACGTTCTCAAGATATTCCCCATGTCAGTGTTAGCAATGTCATGTTTCATCTCCCCTCTTCCATCGCTTCCCCAGTGAGACCAGATGTTGTCCTTGTTAGTTTTTACCGACGTGCTGCCAAAATGAGTGGTTTCGCCTGACCCAAACCTGAGCTTATAGTTGCCAAATTGCCGCCAATTACCGCTCGGGAGGTCTCTAGGGCTCGCTGTGACCGGGCCGCGCGGCGCCGAGAATGCCTAAATCGTAGTGTCAGCGGTGGCCGGCCTGAGCTGCAGACCCTTCTCTCTGTTTATTACATGTCGCCGGGGAGACTGCGGCAGCGCTGTGGTGTGCTAGCTAGGTAGGGACTAAGCCCGTCATGGCCACGATCCTCGCGGCCCGGCGCGGTTGTTGGCTTGGTGTTGTTGGCTGTTGTCTGTTGTCAGTTCTTGTCACCGGTGTCGCAAAGGCTATAGAATGTGATGTGCTCTAGTAAGTTGCCTGTGTTGTATTTTTGTGGCTTTGAAATGCTAGTCATGTCGTTTGACGTTAGATGATCAGCGTTGTTACATCACGAGAAACTATGACAGCCAGTGTAGTAAGAATAAACAGCGACCTGCCACCTCTGCGACATTTTCTTTTTTTTGGGGGGGGGGGGGGTTAGGCCCTTTCGGACTGACGAGACCATTTCAGAGCCGGAAGGATGATAGGAATTAGGGGGAGACATTGGTCTGGGCAGGCACCCTAGTGAGTCACCGGGGCTGAGCCCGTCCCGAAAGACAGGCCGACCAGCCCCAAGGTACTCACTGCACCCGGCTACGGGGTGCGCTCCCTCGGGAGCAGCGGTGCCGCTCCAAGGGAGCAGCCCGCATGAGATAAAGGTGCCTGTCCAGCCCGGAGGGGGTTGCGGCGTGGAGGAGAAGGATTTCAGTATCCTGAGGATAGAAGCACGGACAACGGTGATTTTCTATTCATCGAATCCTAAGTAAAGAGGTAGTCCTATGAGACTGTTATGTCGCGTGGCTCGTGATTATGTGTAGGCCGATTACAAGAAATGGCCCCTTCGGACGATAGAGATAAGCAATAACAGACACAAACAACAACCGCTGCTTGTCGAAGATTTGGCTCTGTCAATCAGTCAGATCAGTTGAATTTTCAGAACTTTCGACTTTCGAGGATTTACGGCACGGAGTGGGGCAAAATTCATGATGAGGAATGCACCAAAACCGTAGGGTAAATTTCCTTGCACACTTTCTCGTCTACATTTTTAAATAGGCATTCTGCGGCGTTTGCGTATTTACAAATTGCAACCGAGCTCCGCCGTAGGGTATTTTATTTCCGCCGTAGTGTATTTCACTTGGGGGATTTTCTACCATACATCTGCCTGAGCTTAGGGTAATTACAATTTGTCGGCGACGTTCAAAAATGATGCACCTTTTTTCGCAGTATAGGATATCGCATGTGCATATTTCTGCCTTTTTGGGTGCGCTTTATCGGTTTTTCGTGAGTAACTCGCGTAAAAACCGTCCGATCGCGACGAAACTTTCAATACCCCCGATTTTATCAATTTTACACCTACCCTGAAAATTTCATGACCCTGACCCAAATGAGTAATGACCTTTGACCTGTGACCTATTTCTCGAGACCATGTTTGGCCCGAATCGCGATTCGGCGTATGCCGGCTCGCATTAGCCGCGCGGTTGCAGTCTTCACGTGGTTTCAAGCGTTGAAACATGTGATATGATGCTGATCCCATGCATTAGGGTGGGTATCAAGGTCACCTGAAGGTCAGGTCAGCTCAATGACCTTTGATGACCTCGGTTCACTTTTTCGAGTTTTACATGTTTCTAGGCTAGTTTTTGGAGCTGATTTCGAATTTAGCAACCATTTGAACATCACAGGGGGTGTAACGAAATTATCCGGACACCTTTCTTCCCGCTGTAAAAACAAAAAAATCTGGTACTTTTTCTTTTAACTGAGCTTGTAGCCACCTTTCATAAAAAAACTCAGTTTATTCACCTCGTTGGTTTCTGCATATATTTGGAGTGGTTTCAAAGGACAGTCAGAGAGGAAATGAGGAACCCACACAGTGGCGAATGTTCTGGAGCATTTCAGCCAATGGATCCTCCAGCACACTGGCTTTGATGCGGACCAACGCCGTCTAAACCTGCGCCTGCGGTTGAGCAGTGCTTATGGCGGGTGGCTCTTCATACACCTCCTGCTAAGCAAGAGCCCACAGGTTTTCGATTGAATCGGGATCGCGACTTTTTCCAAGTCATAAGCGTTAGCCCAGAATGATTGAAGGTTCTATAGGCATCACTTCCCGTTCTTTTAGGGACTTTTAAGTAGCGCGCCGCCACGCATGAAGACAGCGTGGCTTGAATCAGGCATCAGTGTGCGTTCAGAAACCGTGCCCTCCTAATATGCCGTCTGGTTGAGCGCCTCCAATCATGCTCCACCACCTTCCCTGGAAAAGCTCCACCCTTGCCTATGGGGCAAAATATAAGGGACAAATACACAAAGCAAGACAGATAAAAACAAAGCAAAATTAGCTCATTACCTAATGAAATTCAGGCTGGAGCAAAAACATAGGTAATAGATATCTATGTCAAATTAGAATGAAAGATTAAAATCAACCTGACCAGCCCTTACGGTCTGACCGGGTCCTAACCACCTGACCTTACTTCGCCTAGCTTGACCCAATTCAACCTAGCCTACCACAACACCTGCAGAGGTACCTTCCTGGAAAAATGACGCCCAGGGAGATGACTGTCCAACTTATTGGAATACTACCATTATTGCTTGTCAAAATGTGTGTCATCATGCTCTTGTTTGATAAGTGATGTATAATAAATATGATATTTAATAATTATCTCCTGACTGTTGACTGTTGAGTGATCAAAATATGCAAATAATCAGGGTACAATCCTGTGCATAGTGCACACTAATCATGTTGTTTTTGTGTAGGCCCTCTGCATATTGTTGTGTGTACTGCTATGTGCACCTCAAGTAAAAAAGTGACTGGTGGTACATGACAAAAGGTTGAGCAATTGTGAAGTTCATGCCCTTGGTCTTGCTGGTGCCAAATGCCTATAGCTATAGCAGGATCAGTGAGGGTTGTAGACATGCTACATACATTGTGCATTGAAGATATTGGCACAAAGTTCATCCGTAATTACTATGCTTTAACACCTAATGTAAGAACTAAGAAGCGACGTAAATGCCCAGATGATAAAGCTCTCTGGTCAACATCACACAAATTTATTGACATACTTTGCAGGTACATATTTACATTCATGGCAAATACTTTCGATTTGATTCAGAAACTAGTTGCTAGTAAGCTTGCATCTTTGTAGGTACAACAACGACCATATATTAAATCATAAAAAACCTTCTTATGGCATTTATCACATACCTTTTTACCGAATAAGTACCTTATACCTAGCTACCATGCAATGATTCTAAAATTTGTCCGCAATCCATCTATATCTCAACTGATACAATGAATTTCAAATACCCTAACAAAACCTATAACTGTAGGTACATAAGAAGAATGCAATACTACAAGAATTATGAATTTCTGAAGTTATTCTCACATGCTGGAAATTGGAATGTTGAAACTCTACTTTTGTTGTCCATTTCCATGTTTGATTGAGCCATCATATAGAACTGTTTTCGTTCTTCAGTCACAAGCTTTCCCACAAATCTTGAATTTTTACACATCATCTTGAACCATGCTCCAGTCTTTCCAACAAGGTACTATGTAACATCAAAGCAATTTTGATTTGTTACAACAGCTTCAGATCATGATAGGCTTGAGGTTTGTTACACCATTTGCCAGACAAATCTCTACAAAATGTGTATCAATTCCCAAACTAAGTAATTGATCATATCAGTATTTGCAGTTTCCACACAATGTTTCATAATACTATTCTATGTTTATAAAAAGAAACTCAAATAATCCACAAATTGTTATTGAAACACTCCCACTTCAAGAATTCACAGCAATAACAGACAGTACAAGTTCAGAAGCAAACAAACATTGCGCCACATTTCGTATGAAACGCGCCATCGTCCTGAAGTTTCTACCACAGACGGTAGTTCAACCGCAGCCGTAGTGCGAAAACCCCTGCCCACCTTACCCCACGGCGGAGCTCGGTTGCAATTTGTAAATACGCGCGGCGTTTACGGCGTTTCCGACGCAGAGTGTGGGAGGTTCGCGCCCGGTGGGATTTCGTGATTTTGTGTGAATTATGATGTTTTTCTCCTGTTATTTGGTAGTTATTGGTAAAAGTCGAAAGCCCTTCTCATTTTGAATGACTGCCAATGAAAGTGCCGGTCGGAAACAGCATGATTAGAAGTTATAGCGTAGGGCGGACATGCCCTGTATTTTTCCGTTCAGCGCCAATTAAGCCTTGAAAGAAATGGTCAAATTTCAAGTAAATTGGATGGAAATGCTCAAAAATTAAAATATTGGTGATAAGGGAGCTAACGACTTACGACTGAGTAACGCTACATCAGTAATTCGTATGAAAATTTGTTGTGTCGTCTGTATTTTCGGAGCAAGCTCTTCTGGCCTGAAAAAATAAATTGCAGAGCTTTGGGATTATAGGATAGGGCATAGTCATTGGGCTGTGCTGGATACATCAACCTGTAGACTACTGTAGACTGCAATGAGTCGCTGAATTGAGACTGTTTCTTGCTTTTGCGACCAGGCTGCCGCATTGGGACAGTCTGCCCTAGTGCCCACCTCTTGAAGTTTGAACACTGAACAGTCACCCTGGAGATTTGTAAAGGAATTGCAGGTCATGGTGTGGACTCCACAGTTGTGGACCCAACCTGGCCTCTTGCACCAAAATCCTCTTACACCAATGCTTGGATTATTTTGCATCCATCATCATCCACCAGTTGTCAGATGGGATGACCACCATCCCTGAAAGGAAGTGTGAGAGGGATGTGGATGGGTTTGTCCAGAGGGTGGCAAAGACAGAATTGCCCTGGCTAGGTGTTTTACATGAATGTTTGTGGCATCAATTGCTCCTTACTGGTAGTGTTTGGGCTTTTTTAATTGCTTTGCAATGAAATGATAGCATTTGAAGCTAAAGCAAAGCTTTTAGCAAAGTCCAATGAGTGGCCTTTGGGGTGAATTTAAAATATGTCCCTGCTGTATTATAAGTCACATTGCTAATTGATCAATTTCAAGTGTATGAGTGACTGAGCCCAGCATTTCATCAATCAATGCTTGTTAATTTCACAGTGCTACAACCTATTGTCATCATCAAATTTCTCTGAAATAAAAAATTGTAACTTTTCTTATGATCTTTTCCTACAAGATTCAAATAAGCCTGTAAGAAAGTCTAGCGATCACTTCCTAATTCCTAATTACTATGTTCCAGGATGAAAGTCTAGCAATCACTTCCTAATTACTATGTTCCAGGATGATGTGAATAAGCTAATTTCCAAACTATCATATTTGTAATATACAGGTCCTAGAGGTTCATCACAATTTTCATTGTTGCAGGCTGTGAAAATAGTTGCAATCATTACTTACACATTGGATTTTGAGTGTGGTAGAGCCTTGCTGTGTGAGCATCCACTGGCTATAGACTCAGCCTGACCAACATCATGG